TATTATCGATCTGTCTGGGCTGATGAGAGCTGAAATGGCTCTTAATTGCATTCTTCGGCTAATCAATATTATACAGTACACTCTTGCTGATACTTTTTAAGTATGGTAGAAAGTGAAAATTATAGGAGATAATGAGTGGGAAGAATACAAAGAAACACTTAAGAAAACGAAAAAGATGTGGACGGTATAATAAAAAAATAATCCCAAATGGTTATTCGTGGAAATATTAATTGCAATTCTTTCAATTATAATTATAGTTTTTTAATCTTTACAGCAGTGATATCATTTTTAGTTTTCTGTTCTAAAGCTAGATACTGCGACTATAAATTCGTCACAGAGGTAAGTTGTTAAGTTGGACCCTCTTACGTTGTTTTGAAATAACGTCCTCGGTTAGAATCTTAATGAAGTTGAAAAATCATCGAAAAGTCCCATACATTGAAATGTGTATATTAAACGTGCCACAGCTGGTAATTCAACAGGTTTTACTCCCCACATTATTGATGTAGAAAACACAGATAGTTTATGATAACGACATCTAGCCCTTGAGGCTAATGCCGTCCATTAATCTAATTGTAGATTTATATTAGTTTTGGTCCCATTATGTGTCTCATTGCCCCCCCCCCTTCTTCATATAAGAAAAACTGAATCTAAGTTGGATCCGATACAGCTATACATCATGGTTTAACTCATTCTTACACTTCGAATCCGTCGTTTGATCAAAGAGGATGCACTGATGTGAAAAATGTGCAGAGTGTCATTATATTAAAATCATCTTTACTGAATTTGTATTTACAACTGAAATATAAAGTTAACCAACCGTCTGGTAATGGCCGTTTAGAAAACAAGAATAAAATAAATATAAAATAAGAAGAATTAAAAACCAGACATACAAACGGATGTGATTGCCTTCTCCCTTTTTTTCTCACGAACTAAAGAAGGAGTTTAGATGACGTCATAGATCAGTTCAAAGCCCTTTTCCAACAAAATTGTCATGATGAAAATAAGAACTCGATCTTCACACACACAAACATTTCCTGTGCACATGCACAAACTCCTGCCTGGAGCCCCAGCTCTCTGATAAGTCGACGGAAATCCTCTAATTCTCAAGTCTGTGGATGGCAGTGAAGGTAATTCAAAGAATTAATTGTATTGTGTCATAGTTGCGTTCAGTGTCACTAATAGATGACATTAGTACTGCAAAACGACGGACTGTGGAGCTTGTGAATAGTTTCTCAACACATGTTATTTCTTAAAACCTATAATTTTTAATTTTCTAAATTCTATTTACTAGTTTAGCATTGCGTAAGTAGAATAAAGACTTTCAGGGACATTAAATTTACGCTATTTATCCTCGATAAGTCTTGTTTGAGCGAAATCTTGTCCAAGATTCTGCCCTTTCGCATTTCCCTGTATTATTTAGTTGAACTTGTAATGCGTAATTATGTCACTCTAAAACTGTAGGGCCCGGCATGGCCAGGTGGTTAGGACGCTCGACTCGCAATCTGAGGGTTGCGGGTCGAATCCACGTCACACCAAACATGCTCGACCTTTTAGCCGTGCGGGCGTTATAAT